GTGATGGGAAATTTAGTTGATCCCACATTGGAGATTATGGTAAAACATTTAGAAAGGTCCCAAACAGCTGTTTCTTCAAAAAAGCGGTTAATTTTTGTGTTAGAAAAAAAGTTTACCCATTCATGGGAATTTTTTAAAGATCGCAACCAAAATAAATTGGTTTCAAAACGAGAAGAATTTTTGGACTACAAATCTAACAATTTTAAACGTCTTTTATTATTTGGGCAAAAATCTTTTTGTTCATGGACCTAATCATCCAAAAAGGTATACATCGATTTTTTTTGTGCCATGAATTCATTTTAAAAGTTCATAGCTTTTTTACACTTTTTTGTTCTCTATATATTTTGCATTTGCTTGTTTACGTACTTTAGACATACAAAGCCCCCCCTCCCCCGCCCCCCCTTTCTCGTCCTTGTTACATATACCAATAAAAATAAATATGTTTGAAACAATTTGTGTATAATATTGTCATAGATAGTACCATAGCTAAATTGCCTTTTTTCAATTTCAACTGCAACCCTCCGGTATGTGATGACGAAATGAGCGATCATATATTCTTGTATATCTAGGAACATTGTATTTTAAAACAAAGAGACCTTTCTTTCTGTTTCTAAAATGTATAAAACACAACCCTTGGTTATACGACCTCGTTAAACTGTTCCATAAACACCAAACTTAACTTAAGCAACAAACTGTTATACAGGGTCTCGCTTAACAAATTCAAGAATGGAGAAGTCAGAGATTACAGTTTGTGAAATTGTGATTACGGGGTTTGTATTTTCTCATTTTAATTAAAGTTTGTGAATAAGAGTTTTGAATATGATCAACAACGGATTTCGCTTACATGGTTTGCGATACAGTCATAACCAGAAAACTTTGAAATAGGAAAACGACTTTAGACTTAAGTTATGACTTTGAAGAATAGTTCAATAATCATGGGACACAGCAACATTGTTATAGTGTAAACAGACCCATTTAACTTAATTGACTTAATAAGTTCCTACTAAGACTATTTATCTATTACATAAAGTCGTCTTCCTATGTCCACGGTTTCATAGATTTTTATTTTAGTTTGTAACTTAGCTTTAGTAACAAATAAAGTCACGGCAAACAAAATAAGAGATAAACAAAGTTTTGATCATGGGTTTAAATTATAATATGTTGTTACGGTGTTTTATTATAATATGTTGTTACGGTGTTTTATTATAATGTGCGATCTAAGCTTTTCATTACAGCATTGATTCAAGTTTGATTATTTACGTTTTCTGATCAGGGAAAGCCAATTCTGGTTGTGAATATTACTGTTGTTATACGGAGCTTTGATTACAGTTTTTATTACAGTAAAAATGAAAAAAAATGTTACCTGTTTATAAAGGAATCTATAAGGGTAAAAATTAATTAATGTTACCAGGGTAAAAATGTATAAATGTTATTAGGTTAAAAATGAATAAACGTTACCAAAGTAAAAATGAATAAATGTTACTAGGGTTAAAAATGAATAAATGTTACCAGTGTAAAAATGTATAAATGTTAATAAGGTTAGAAATGAATAAATGTTACCAGCTTAAATATGTACAAATGTTATAAGGGTAAAAATGAATAAATTTTATTAGGTTAGAAATGAATAAATGTTACCAGGTTAGAAATGCATAAATGTTACCAGGTTAAAAATGAATAAATGTTACCAGGGTAAAAATGTATATATGTTACCAGGTTAGAAATGAATAAATGTTACCAGGTTAGAAATGCATAAATGTTACCTGGTTAGAAATGAATAAATGTTACCAGGGTAGAAATGAATAAATGTTATCAGGTTAGAAATGAATAAATGTTACCAGGGTAGAAATGAATAAATGTTACCAGATTAGAAATGAATAAATGTTACTAGGGGTTTAATGAATAAATGAATAAATGTTACCAGGGTAAAAATGAATAAATGTTACAAGGGTAAAAATGTATAAATGTTACTAGGGTAAGAATGTATATATGTTACCAGGGTAGAAATGTATAAATGTTACCAAAGTAAAAATGTATATTTGTTACCAGAGTAGAAATGTATAAATGTTACCAGGGTAAAAATGTATATATGTTACCAGGGTAAAAATGTATAAATGTTACCAGGGTAAGAATGTATATATGTTACAAGGTTAAAAATGTATAAATGTTACCAGGGTAAAAATGTATAAATGTTACCTGGGTAAAAATGTATAAATGTTACCAGGATAAAAATGTATATATGTTAACTGGGTAAAAATGTATAAATGTTACCAGGGTAAAAATGTATATATGTTACCAGGGTAAAAATGTATATATGTTACCAGGGTAAAAATGTATATATGTTACCAGGGTAAAAATGTATATAATGTTACCAGGGTAAAAATGTATATACATTTAAGCAATCTTATGAGTACAGAGCTGAAAATTTCAGAGCTAGAATTGTGGATATCGAGATCAATGTCGATTGAAGAAACCAAACAGTTAATCAGAAACCGAGAAATTTTGAAATTATGAGCGCGATCTCTGAGAAGTGAGAGAAATTTCATTGGTAGCAATCCAGCAGGGATCTGTCTAAAAGAGAGGATTAAGAAGAACATCAGAAGTGTCGAACTGAATACAGAGATTTAGCAATGGGATGAAGGTTTTCCAATTATGAGTTTCAGTGAAATGGGTCTGTGTGATTAGCATGAGTCTGACAGACGACTTTCTATTCCACAGTTTAATGGGTACCACAAGTATCATATTCATAAAAGAATTTATTTAAATCAATTCTTACAAAAGATATTTTAAAGGAAAACAGTAAATTTAATTTAAAATAGTTATCGTCTTTCCAATAGTTTCGTTTCTGACGAATTCAACTAACTTATTGTTGAACCCATCGAGATATTGTTGAACCCATCGAGATATTGTTGAACCCATCGAGATATTGTTGAGCCCATCCAGATATTGTTGAACCTGGAAATTTGACTGCAGATTCTATAGATATAGGTATAGAAAGGTATAGAAAGGTAAATAAAGGTGTAGAAAGGTATAGAAAATTAAAGAAAAGTATAGAAAGATAAAGAAAGATATAGAAAGGTATAGAAAGGTTTAGAAAGGTATAGAAAGATAAAGAAAGATATAGAAAGGTAAAGAAAGGTAAAGAAAGGTATAGAAATGTAAATAAAGGTATAAAAACATTAAACAAAAGGAATGTAATATTATATGTCGTCTTTCCAATAGTTTCGTTTCTGACGAATTCAACTAACTTATTGTTGTACCTGGATATTTGACTACAGATTCTATAGATAAAGGTATAGAAAGGTAAATAAAGGTGTAGAGAAAGGTATACAGTGAAACCCTTAATAACGAATACATCGAAAGAATTCATCAAATGTCGTCTTCACTTTCTTCCCTTTCTGATAATGGAATGTTGCAGATATTTAGTTTTTTAATTAAATGATTAATGGAACTCTTTAAAACTGTTCCCGCATGTTCATGTCTATTTATTTATTTTCACAAATACTGAAATTTACGTAATTTAGTATAAAACTCATTGACAAATTGTCAAGACGACATTTGATAAATTCTTCCGATGTATTCGTTATTAAGGGTTTCACTGTAGAAAAGGTTTATAAAGATATAGAAAGATAAAGAAAGATATAGAAAGGTATAGAAAGGTATAGAAAGTTAAAGAAAGGTAAAGAAAGATAAAGAAAGGTAAAGAAAAGTAAATAAAGGTATAGAAAAGTATAGAAAGGTAAAAAAAGGTAAAGAAAGATAAAGAAAGGTAAAGAAAAGTAAATAAAGGTATAGAAAGGTATAGAAAGGTAAAGAAAGGTATAAAAAAAAGGTATAGAAAGGTAAAAAAGTATAGAAAGGTATAGAAAGGTATTGAAATGTATGGAAATGTATAGAAAGGGTAAGAAAGGCTTAGAAAGGTAAAGAAAGATATAGAACGGTATGGAAAGGTATAGATTGATTTAGAAAGGCATAGTACATAGAAAGTTAAAGATTAGTATGGAAAGTAATAGAAAGGTAGTCTTGTTTGGTCAAGAAAACATTTACTTGAAATTAAACATCTCCGATTGAGACCGGGTTTAGATAAATTCGTTCAAAGTACCAATATTTTCTCATAGATAGAAGGCGACTTCGTGTTTCTGTTTAATTAAATATATATACAGTGAGAACAAGAAAACTATGGAATAGGAAGCAATAATTAAGAATATTTGATGTTATTACAAAGCAAACAGTTTTACTAGCATCTTATTGAATTACTAATTAAGTGAAATTGGTCTGTTTACACTACAGAATTTCTGCGTTTTATGCTCTTTGATCAAATTTAAGAAATTAAGGGTTTAAAAGCCGTCTTTTATTTTAGAGTTTTATGGTTATCAATATCGATAAAATAAAAATAAACAAATCAGAAAGAATATAATCATTAATAAAAGAAAGTTTGATTATTTAGAAACTGCATTGTAAGAATTGTTATGTAGAAAGCAATGTTTGATCAATAAGATTTATATTGATAAAATGTAGAATTTTTCATTATGATACAGAATACTGAAGTAAATAAACAATTGCATATATTTAAACTTACTACGAAACTGCAATTTAAACAAAAGCTCTGTTATTTTGAAATAATCAACACAAAAATACAATAAATAGCTAAAAACATTAATTTAATTCATGGCGGTGCGATTTTTGTAAAACTGATTTTCTAAATTTAAATCAAAAAAAGGCCGGGTTTTCTTTTGTTATTTTGTGTATTTAAAAAAGTGTAAATGCCATCCTTAGAACCTCAATTTTGTACGAGATTTTTTTTTAATATGAAAAATAGTAGCGAAAAATGGGCCAAACTAAATTCTTGAATCAATTTTAGTATTTTTAATAATTACGTAATTGTTGTCTGCGGCTGCAAAAACATTGTAATGAGTTTGTTCGGTAAATTTATAGGCAAAGGCGTTGAGCCACTTCAAATTAGACCCAGTTGTGAAAATTGACGCAACTTTTCAGAGACGTCTGGATGAACCAAGTAAAAGCTGAAATGAATCTTGAGGAAGAAGCTGATGGTGAGGAACTAAGACGACCTACTGAACCATTGTCTGCTGAACTTGAAAAGAAGGTTATTGAAGCTTTTCAGGTATTTTATTATTATAAAGATGTATTCACACACAAAGATATAAATACATATATAAATGGTGTACTTTAAATTTGTTTTTGAATATATAGTTTTACAAAAGAAAAAAGAAAAATATGCAAAATTATGAACAAATAGGCGACATTGATAATTACTCATTACATAACATATTTATCATTTCAGTTATTACGTAATCATCGAATCCTTCAACATATAAATTATTCATTCTTGTTTTTTTTTTTTTTTAAGTTCTTGTCAAACCGGAACTTTCCATGCATGGTCTAATGGGACATCAAAATATTTCATTTGTTTCTTAACTAACATTTTTCTAAGATCCGAAGGATTTATAGAACAATCATTTGCAATAGAAAAAAAATTTCTGCCATAACTGTGTTGAGGTCATTTTTACATAAATTAGAAAGAAATCTAATGCAAAGCTTAGAACTTGCTTCAATAGTCTCATAGAAAGATATACATCTACTAGCTAACATAGTTTTTACATGTAAGATTCTATTATCATCAATGCATACTTTCATTTGAAGTGAACAATCCCTTTTTCTATCCAATATTTGCATTAACTTACATATTTATAAACAAAGAGGATAGAATATATATTAGAGTGGAATTTAGTAAATACCTCGGTATGAATTTTGTCAGTCACTTTCAGCCTGAAAGGGAGTTCAAAGTGTACAAATCATGTAAATGTTCACAAATTATATGCAGTAGAGTACATTAATACAGTATGTTCCCTAGACTATCTATTTCAATTTCGAATTTTTTTATGAATTTTAATGAATTTAATGAATTAGGTGAAGAAAAAACATCATTTGATTTATAGTTATAACGGAAAATCATCGTTTACAGCGTAAACGATAATTGTAAAGTGAAAGGCATAGAGTCTATGTGAAATGATCATTGGTCAATTATGAAACCAGCCTATTTCATAATTTGGTTTTCTTTTAGTATTAATTTTAGATTTTCTATAAAATGATGTTTCAGGGCCCAAAAGGTTAAATAGCACAAATATGTGAAGTACACCTGCAGTATGGAAACAGTACAACAAAATGGCCGTTTTACACTTTTTTCTTGTAAATTCCACTCTAATATATATTCTATTCTCTTTGTTTATAAACAGTGATACTCAGAAAACTGTTGAATAGGAAGACGACATTAAAGCAATACAAAGAACTAATAGTAATTTATCTATTTAAGTGAAATGGGTCTATTTACGATACACAATTTCATTGCCTCATGTTGACATCCTATTCTTGAGATTTCTGTTATACTCAAATTGTATTATCCCATTTTCTTTGTCAAAGACTATGAAATGTTAGAGATGTCCAAACAGATTGCAAAGATAAAGAGATAAGAAAAGTATTGTTTAAGTCGTGTTATCAGTTAATGTGATGGTGATAGGGAAACGTTTAGCAAGAAAAAATGATATGGGGAAACTGCCAACTGGTTGTAACCTCCTTGTTTTTCAGGTTTTTGATCATGAAAATAACAGAACTGTTGATGAAAGAGAGATTGGGACAATCATCAGATCTTTGGGACATTGCCCATCTGAGTCACAGTTACAGGTGGGAGATTACCTTTAGGTCACAGATAAAGGCGGGAGATTGACCGTTAGTCACAGATAAAGGTGGGGGATTGTCCTGTTAGTCACATATAAAGGTGGGACAATGACTGAAAGCCACAGCTAAAGGTGGGAGTTTGGCCGTTAGTCACAGCTAAAGGTGGGAGATTGTCCGTGAGTCACAGATAAAGGTGGAACATTGTCCGTTAGTCACAGATAAAGGTGGGAGATTGCCCGTTAGTCACAGATAAAGGTAGGAGATTGTCTGTTAGTCACTGATAAAGGTGGGAGATTGTCTGTTAGTCACAGATAAAGGTGGGAGATTGTCCGTTAGTCACAACTTAAAGTCACATTCAAAGGTGGAACATTGTCCTTTGTAGAGTCACAGCTAAAATTGGGAAATTGTTCGTCATTCAAAGCTAAAAGTATGTCTGTTAGATTCCCAGCTAAAAATAAATATTAAATAAAACTTTATCGTTCTTTTGCTTAGTAAGAAGTATTATTGTGAACTTTTGATTGCACTCTTTTGTTTAGGGTGTTCTGGCTGAAATGGAAGATCCGGAACAAATGGGATACATCACTTTTACCAGGTATAGATTGTCCTTTGTTTTAAGGTAGATTGCGTTTGAAGAAAAATTGAGGAAGCCCTGAATGGTTTTCATTTACAATTTAAGGTTTTCATTGACAATTTCAGGTTTTTATTGAAAATTAACGCTTCTCATTTAAAATGAAAGGTTTTCATTAAAAATTAAAGGTTTCCATTTAAAATTAAGGTTTTCATTTAAAATTAAGGTTTTCATTTAAAATTAAAGGTTTTCATTGAACATTTAAGGGTTTCATTTAGAATTAATGTTTTCATTTAAAATTAAAGGTTTTCATTTAAAATCAAAGTTTTCATTGAAAACTAAAGGTTTTCATTGACAATTTTAGGGTTACAATTAACATTTAAGAGTTTCATTAAAAGTTAAGATTTTTTTTTAAATTAAAGGTTTTCATTTTAAATTAATGTTTTCATTTAAGATTAAAGGTTGATCATTGAAGATTTGAGGTTTTCATTGAAAATTTTATGTTTTCATTTTAAATTAAGGATTTCATTTAAAATTAAAGGTTTATTTTTAGAATTTAAGGTTTTTTATTTAAAATTAATGGAAAAGTAGTTAAACTAAACATACCTATAATTCAATCTTCTTCTCCTTATTCTTTAAATCCATCTAATAAGAACANTCAAGTATTTTCAGTAAAGTCCTTACTTACTTTGTGATTGATTTGCAGTACAAATAGTTGTATGGAAAGTTTTGGTTTAAAGATAACCTTAAGGGAAACCTTTATATACAGAGCCAATCCAAATCATATTGGATTATTTCAAAGCTTCAATGCCCAAACATGCACAGATTAAGAATCATATACTGTTTTTTTCGCCCGTCAAATTAGTAAATTTCTTTGTAAGGATCTCTGATTTTATAAGGCGGTTAAACTTCCTCGTAGGATCCTTTTATTTCCATAAGGAAGTTCCCGTGTATTTCACAATATATTTCATAAAGTATCTTGCATAACATTCCTGTTGAAGGAAGGAAAAGGTCAGTACTAAGGCAGCATGGGGTCATTTTACAGTAGACTTACAATGTACTGTCAAATGACCTTACTTCCTAAGAGCTGAACTTTTTCTTCGTTTACTAGGAAGGATATATTTTTAAGGAAATAAAGGATTATATTTTTATGATATAAAGGATATATTTTTATGAAATAAAGGATATATTTTTAAGGAAATAAAGGATATATTGAGAAGGAGCTAATGACTCAACTACTAGCAGAGGAGGGGGAACCGTTCACACCGGTAAGGGGTCACACTCACAATCCAGCCAGCCAGGGGTGTACACTGTACAATGTACAAAGGATTTGGTCCAGGGAGGTGGTTTGAATTTTTTTCCAGGGGGGGGGCTCACCACCTTTCTGGGACTGAAAACCCCATTGATTTTACCAGAGATAAGAGAGTAGCAGAGATCAATTAAAACTTATGAAAAGCAATATTTTCCACAGCAGGTTCTATTGTGTATGTATACAAGTACTGTACACGACCAATCAGCAAACATCTTTATTAAGGGATATTTCAGGATCCTTTGGATACGAAATACAAAGTCTTCAAAAATAGACTAAATTCAAAAATGTTATGTTTCATGTTAAAAGTTGGAGTATTTCTATACAAATTGTAAAACTTAATCCCTGATAGGGTATTATATGCAACAAGTGGCCGTTAGATGTCAGTCAAAAAACCTTTCATTAAACTGTAGCATGGCGTGCCGTGACACTTCAGGCCTGCTTAGCCTATCTAGGTAGAGAATATTCGCAGTTTGGTTAGTCTGTGGATTTTACTTATCCATGAGGGGCTGATCCCCAAGAGCCCCCCCCCCTGTGTGCATTTACTGCATAAAGAGTGTCATGGATCGACTTTACACTTTACTACAACCTTTAATGACCTCCAAATTGAAAATGTTTTAACCATAGTGTATATTTCAAACGAAAGCTAGGAACTAGAGAATACAGTGGCAGCAACAAATCTAGTGTTTGAACTTCTAATGACCTACAACGACCTATTATAACCTCCATGAAAATATTTAAATGTGGCTTTAGGCATGTCAAACAAACATTAGTAACCCCCAAAGAATCAAGTGGCAGCAACATGTAAAACAATTTAAATGTAAATCATACAGCAATAAATATATATTTGGGATCCTTCATTCTTCTTGGCTTCACAAAATTTCATGTACACAAGTTTTATTTTTTTAATTATGCACAAATGTATCTCTTATAGAAGATAAAAGCCTGAACGAACAAAAACACATTCTTCATTTACAAAAAAAATTGTTTTAAAGAATTGTTCGGACTATAATCATCTATCAAGTACGTGTCAGTGAACATTTACAAAGATGAGTAACAAATTTATCAATGAAGAAATCAAATAATCAACTTATCTATTAGTTAATCAATCAATAAATAAATCAATTGATCAATCAAATTATTAATCAATTAACTAACCAATCAATCAATCAATCAGTTCATCAAATTATAAATCAACTAATAAATTAATTAATCAATCATTTAGTTCATTAATTAATTAATCTATCAATTAATTAATTGATTAATCTATTAATCAATCTATTTATTAATTAATAATCTATTAATTAGTCTATTAATTAAATAATCAATAAATCAACAACTAAATATTTTTATTTAAGGATGAGGTCCAGGAGTTTTGTAATGCTGGAATTGATCCTAAAACAAAACATGTCAACTACAGGGAATTTGTTCACTTTTTATCAGTAGACGATATTTTTTAGATGTTTTACTTTCCCAAAGACCTTTTGCCAAACAGCAACTTCCCAATGTGTATTTTCCCAAATGGCAACTTTCCAAATAGGCAATTTCCCAAGTGGCAACTTCCCAATTTTGTACTAGCCTCAGAGCTCGGCCCCCTATACTGTTATAGCCGTAGCGCTCGGCCTCCTTAACCCATTCTAGCAGCAGCGCTCGGCCCCATGGCAGCTTGGGTGCCTCAGAAGGCCTAACCTAAACTTTTGGATTTGCCACTCGGGAAATTGAATATTTTGGATGTTGCCACATAAGAAATTGTCACTTGGGAAATCGCCATTGGTGAAATCTCATTGGGAAAACCCCTAAAACCAATCTGTAATGCAATTTGTCGTTTTAAACCCATTAACATTAATGGAACCAAATACTCGCCCCGAGTTCTAATTTTCTTATCCCTTTTTCTGTGTAACCTGATGGTGTAAACACTAAATACATGTATTATTTGATTTAACATAATTCATAATTTGAAATATTTCAGGTCTAACTAATTGGGTTGCAAATAGAAAGGGATCAATTCGAAAATCAGAGTTTGTGGCAAAGAATCAATTCCTTTGAGAACTGAAAACGCAAGTGAAAAAGTGATGTTTAAGTTTTTGCATCCTAAGACCAAAAAAAACTATGGAATATGAAGACGACATTAAAGCAATCTTATTTGAATATTGTACACATATTACCAGTAGCTTGAAAATTAACTTATTAGGGGAAATTGGTCTGTGTACACTGCACAATTGTTGTATTTGGTTGATTGAAATATTTTAAATCATATCTTGAGTCCTACCGTTTTCTTTTTCTTCGACAATTTTATGGCTTCCACTTAGGGTTTCGGCCAAAAAAATTTTTTTCGCCAAAGCAAAGATTTTTGCAATTTTCCGAATCATTTTCTCTTTATTTTGCAAAATTAACTTTCACGAAACTTATAATTCATTAATTCCCTTTATTCATCAATTTTAACAAACAAAATATAAAGTTATAAATATAAAATAACAAAAATAGAATAATGAAGAGAGAATTGCATGAAAATTAAATAAATATTTAACAAAATTTTAAATATGTTTTGTAAATTTAATTAATTAATCATTTACAAATTTCTTAAAATCTTTATTTAAGAATCGCAAAACTTCTGGGTTTTTAATGCAAATACGAGCAATCTTCTGAATAATTGCATTAAAAAAAACTATTTAACTTTAAAATCTTTACTTTACAGATAATTAAATATCATTTCTGTCTTTTCATTGAATTCTCAATTTTATTAAATAATTTTTTTTCCAGATTAAAAAATGGATTTTAGTCGATCAGGGGACATTAATGCACTGGTAGAGATGCTTGATACCTCCTGCAATATCAAGTAAGTACTAATTGCTTGGATGGTTAAGTTATTTTTTTAAATTAAATCTTTGACGACAAATACCACTGTTTTATTTTAGTTTATTTTAACTAGGAGGGGGTACTTTCCCTTAATTTTTTACCGGGGGAATATCTAGCTTAATGACATTTGTTTCTTAGGAGTGATGGGAGCCGTATAAATCGGTTTAACAACGACGAAAATGAAAAGTATGAAGATAAGGATAAGAAAAAAAAGAACATAAAGAAAACCATCGTTAACATTAGGTAATTCAAATCTTTAAAAAAGGGAGAATTTGCTTTGTTTGGAAATTTTTAAGAACGATTATCAAAATGTGGTAGATATATATATATATAAATAGATATAGATATAGATATAGATATAGATATAGATATAGATATAGATATAGATATAGATATAGATATAGATATCATAAGATTCAATAAAAAAATAAAATTAGATCTTAAGTTTAGGATTTATTTTATTGTTACAGGCTACAATGTGTCCCAATAAATATGAAAATTTAAAGAAGATAATTCATAATACTGAATATTCAATGTACATGAATTGAACCTTTAAAACTGCTACAAAAGAGTATTTTATGTCAAAAAGGACCATGGTGCAGCCTGCAGGAACTATTATAGATATCGAGATAAATGCGTGTTCCTGATTTTTTGTTAATCTACAGATTAATGTAATCTGTATTCGATATTCAGCATGAAATTCGTAACCCTGGAGGAAAAATTTGAATAAAGAGATAACGCATTGATCCTCAAATTAAAAGTGCCCACAAGGGATATTGAGATAAAGCAATCGGGATTATCAGTATTCAAGTCAAAAGTTCCTAACTCTGATTTTCGTATTTTTTTCTTTTGTATTTAATTCATGGAATTTAATTTCATACTTAGTCGTCTTTGAATTACCGTGTTTAGTGGGACACCCAGTATAAAATAATAAGAAATTGGACCTCACCCAAGGTTATAATGCAAGAAAAGTTATTTCAGAGGTGTACGCAGCTTTTGTACTGCAGTGTAATTGTACTGTATGTAAACTTTAGGTTAACCATGTATGTGCACTGTATGTACAGTGTACACGATATGTACACTGTATGTACACTGTAAGTGCACTTTTTGTGCACTGTATGTACACTATATGTAAACTTTATGTTAACCATGTATATGTGGCATGTGCACTGTACATGTATGTATACGGGATGTACACGGTAACTACATTGTATGTACGAAAACTATAACTACATTGTACTGTTACAGGGAGGGGGAGGAGGGAGATGTACTGCAAGAGAGTACAACAGGACATCAGGATGATATTATCAACTTAGAACAAAGGTATTAAGGTGTACTGCAAATTGCAATACCATGAAATCAGAATTAACCCTCAAATTATCATTATGATGATCAAATTGCCAGAAACTGAAATTTGGAAAACCAACAAGGTTTCGAAAAATTTCTCACTGCATGCAGATACGTCCATCATCTGCATTCAAAGATGTAAATGGTACTGTTGTGAATCAGACACGACACTTTACACATGGAAGATTACTTGAGATTAAACCTACAGTCCCTTTAAACACAACGTTAGGCTTTCTTGTAACAGTGTGGTGTTCTTGTAACAGTGTGGTGTTCTTGTAATAGTGTGGTGTTCTTGTAACAGTGTGGTGTTCTTGTAACAGTGTGGTGTTCTTGTAACAGTGTGGTGTTCTTGTAACAGTGTGGTGTTCTTGCAACAGTGTGGTAATATAAATATTCATATACAGGGTGTCCCTTTACAGTTATGAAGACTATATTCACGAATTTCTTGATGAAAAATCCGAAGATGAATTGTATAACGAGGATTCAAGAATAGAGGCTGATTCCCAGGTTCTTGAGGTGAGATAACCCCCATTTTATCATCCTGACTCTCCACTTTCTAGTCCTGGCTTATCACTTTATCAACCGGGGGCGGGGTCACCACTTTTTTTGTAATTTTGCCAATTTTCTATATTAATCTTTAAATTACTTTATAAGCTAAATATCTTCTAAGCAAACTAGTTTTTCAAATCTTAAATTTTCAATGATGTTGCTTAAAGGGACTGCAGTGAGCGTAATTTTAAGTGACCCTCATGCATAGATGGCAATGCCCGATCCTATTCACAACAGTACCTTGAAACCTTTACGTGTAGGTGATATTGACGTTTTTCTAGGTTTAAAAGTATTTCATCCTAATAATTTAATTTCTTGAAGCTGAAATACGCTTGTCATAAGAAACAACAATTTTAAAAAAAACAAGTTTTCAAAATTGTAAACAATCACACAATGCATGAAACTGGTTCCTTAAAATTATGCTTACAGTCCCTTTAAAGAATGCATCATCATAGCTTGCTTGAGCTATAATTTTAAAATTCTTGTAAAAATAATGACATATGACATGGTGTCCCACGAAACATGACAGTAGACTGATGACTTTGAAGATCGCCCACGATCTTTAAAATAATTTACGACAAGAATGTTGAAGACTGAACGTCTAAAATAAATATCAACGACGACTTTTAAATAATCTTGCTTGCTACTGTCATGTTTCGGGTGACACCCTGTACATTTTATAAAATAATGATATTGTTTTTATACTAGTGTTTCCTTTATTTTAGTGAATGTATTTTTGTTTAGGGAGGGGAGTATGAGGTTGGAAATATGTTAAGAAAACCAACATTATCAATACGCTTTCATCTACCAAAGGTAAAAATTGTTAAAAAAAAAAGATATGATTGAGCATTAGAAGTCTTCTGTTGTGATATTAAACTTGATTAAAACATTACTATTTTTTTTAACATTTTATGCAAAATTTGTCTCATAAGAATTTAAAAGGATATTGGCTTACTTCGAAAAGAATTCGATGGTGATCGCTACTAATCTTACTATCTGTTGCGTCTATAAGGAGAAAATGGTTAAACACGACTCATACCGAAAAACGTAGCGTGCAAACAAATTCAGAAAGTTGCAATAATCGACTCAGATCGTAAATAATTCAATTTTATTCCAAACAAATCATTCAGATATTACAAACCATGATCATCGAATTTTATTTGACGCATTCGCATATAGTTGATAATTCATAATATCTCTATTTTTTGTCCACGATTTACTTTAAAAGACGATTATTTGGCCGCTAGGCGTCTCTGCCCTCGACGTTACAAGGGTTCCACTTGGGAGAGACACCTATCGGCCAAAAAAACGTCGTTTAAAGTATATCGTGTATTAAAAGTAAAAAATATTATGAAATATCAACTTTATTGGAATGCATCGAATTATGTTCGACGTTTACAATTATAATATCTGAATAATTAGTTGTAAATTTAATTGAATTATATTTTCGATCTGCTGAGTGATATATTGCAACTTTGTGAATTAATATGGATCCTATACGTTCTTCGGTTTGAGTCGTTTTTAACCCTTTTCTCCTTATAGACACAACAGATAGAAGTAAGGTTAGTAGCGATCACCATCGAATTCGATTCGACGTTAGCCCACCGCCCCCTTTTTATTTTTTGCTGACACTACCTTTAATTTTGAATAAATGATTCAGGAGGATAAAAGAACTATCGACTTAAACTGCTTGGAAGACACGGTAAACATATTTCTTAAACCTATAAAGGTGACGGAGAGGGGGGGGGGGAGTTTGAGGTTTTAATCATTTTCCCAAGGGCAACTTTCCAATTGACTATTTGTCAAGTAGCAACTTCCCAAATGTGCAATTTCCCAAGCGGCAACTTCCCAAAGGTTAGCTTAGGCCCTCTAAGGTGCAGAAGGCTGCAATATGGGGAGGGGCCGGGCGCTGCACACTGTGGAAAAAAGTGCCTTTCCATGTCTTTAAAAGTCGTCTTTTTTATGCAAGAATCTGTTTTTACCAGCTAATGAGCCAAGGATTTTATACAGTAAATAAAGTGAAGCCAAAAAGAAAAGGCTTTAGCATTTCGTAACGTATTTGCTTATTTTAAAGTTTCTGAAATTTTAAATTTTAAAAGTCATTTGGGGAAAATCCTTACCATTTCAAGACTTTATTTTCAGGGCTTTAAAAGACATTTGGGACCTGTACAATATATATATATATTGTATATATATATACATATATATATATGTACTCTGTTCAGATGTACCTGTACTCCCATCAGTACAAATCCCGAGTTTTCCTCCCAGCTCAGGTATATTGTTCATGTACAACATTACCGACCCAAGAATTCCCCGGGGTGTTACGTTACTTAACTGTCTCTTGCAGACAATTAAGTAAAATAAAATTCCGATCTGGAAGTTTCTGTGGAATATAAAAATACCGCGCATTTTCATCTCAAAAGAAGATAAAATTAATAGCAACAAGCTTTTTGAGAGATTAAAATTTGTACGTACCACTGGTTCCCTTGATTTATTTTAAACTGCAGTTTAAACTAGAGTGAGAACCAGAAAACTGTAGAATAAGAAGACGATATTAAAGCAATAATTAAGTGTATAGTTAATGTTGTTACAAAGTAAATGGTTTTCTTAGGTAGTACTAACTATATAATTAAATCACTTTTTAAGGATGAGACTTTTATAACTATCTGAAAAATCTGTAAATATAATTTTTTTAGAAAGGCATAACATTAAGAAAATAGATGACATAAATTTTCGCGACAACTTTGGATTATTTAACTATTACTTACTACAAATCTATGTATAACAAATCTTCATCTTTTCAATCATAAGTTTAAAGTATATATAATAATTTAAATATGTTTTCTGTAGTAGTTGAAATTTCAAAATAATGAATATAGATATCTAATTTATACTTGAGCTGAAAACTTTAGAATGAGATTCCCTTATCTCGATTACTTAATCTGAGTATCAATTGGACAAACTTTTGATTTTCTTCTTAACCCGTTCTTTCTTGGATATTCAAAGCACGCAATTTGTTGCCTGCAGTCATGGGGCGCAAAAGCTTGTGAAAATGCCCGTATAGGTAGAGAAAAATTAAAACCGGTTTTTAAAATTAGAGAGTTCCTCCAGCTTCTGAATATTAATCTTATGGCGGGCAAAATTTCAAATTTATCGGCTTCATATACGCGACTCTGATTGGTTGAATTTTATAAACTATTCAGGATACAAGTACAAGACTAAGTTAGTCTCGATATTAAGAAAAAGAGAGGATCAAGCATTAATCTCGATATCCACTATTCTATAGTTTTTAATGTTAGGCTGTTGTGAATCGGGCATTGGAATCTTTTCATAAATTACGCTTACAGTTAGTTTCAGGGAGAGTAATTCTATTATATTTATTTTAATTTATTTATCCTCATGAGACCCCCAGGTTAAATAGTAGTTTAACATTTAATCTGATATTTAACAATTAACTTTGGCCCGCGGGGGATTTAATAATTAACTATTTTCTTGTTCTGTTTCCAGGTGTCCAAAAAGAAACCAAAACTAGAATGGGATGAAAACTCAAGTGCACTCAGGTTAATAAGAATAATAATTTTAAATACAATTTTAAATTCTTAGTAACTTGGGAATTTACAGTGAGAACTAGAAAACTGTGGAATATATGTTGTTGTTGTTCTTTTTTCTTACTGAATAAATGTTGCTGAAAATTTAATAATTTGCAATTATTTATTTGTAATTGTTACAACTGATATATTTTCTAAATGTTCAGGGACTTTTTTTAGAAATAGTTTCGTTACAAAATAAAAAACTCTTTAGCAAAGACGACGAGAATTTTACTGTTTTTTTGGTTCTCACTGTAAAGGTTTTAATAGAAATGTGCCAAACCAAAGCAAAGTATTTGAAAATGTAAGTTATATATATTTTTGATGTAAGAATAAACTTGACTACGAATTCCCTTTTAAGTTTTAAATAATATTTTTATAGGGTAACCCTGGATGTGGCAACAAACAGTGCAGTTTTGAACTTTTAATAGATTAAAAATGTGAAAAATTATGAATACCTGAGACAAAGAATAATATGAATAATGGAATATAAAGACGACATCTCACCAATCTGATATGTGTATTTCAATTTAGAATAAAGAAAAGTTGATGCAATCCTGTTTGAACTACCGCCGTTTGAACTACTTGTTCATTTGAACTATTGTTCATTTGAACTACTGCACCTGGTACCATCACATGAGTAGTTCAAACAACCAATAGTACAGACGAGTTTGTTTCATGCTTATTTGAACTATTTTTTATTTTATTTGAAAAGGCGATAAAATACATATCAATATTTATTGAGGAATAGGAATGACAAATTATTTGCTAATAAAAAAAATAACAACAATATTAAGAGACTTGCATTTTTTTATCCTAAAAAGTTTTCTTCTAGTCAGCTTAATTATTAAGAATATTTGTAAATATCTGTGTTTTCCTTATTTGATTCTAACAGTTGCCTAAAAACAACTTTTCAAGTGAAATGGGTCTGTTTACACTGCACAATTTCTGTTTTTCATGTTCAACGGACTATTTAGTCAAATCTTAAATCAATGAGTCGTCTTTCTATTCCACAGTTTTTTTAGTTTCACTGTTCAATAAAAGAATCACAATAAAGAAAAGACTTCAATACCAAATTTTCTGATATTAAACATTTATAACGTAACAGGAAGTGGTTTTGAAAAGGGGTTAAAGATCAGATTGAATAAAGTATAGTCAGAAGTTTTATACAGAAACTTATCCGGGGGGGGGGGGCCTCCCCTTCTGTAATTCAAATACCTCTCCTATTGTTCAAGAGTTGTAAAGCTTAAAGGGACTGTAAGCATAATTTCAAGTTACCGTCCATGCACAAATGGGAATATCTGATTCACAATTAAAAGATTTTTCTGATAAAGTATGAATTAGATTTTAAAAATGATAATTTGCATTTGTCGGTTCTCTGAAGTCACAATGTGAATTTTACTGTAGGAAAACTTATATAATATATCCGAATAAAACACTTTTAACCAAGAAAAACGATATTATCTTCCATAAAAGTGGTCAGATAAATGTTTCAAGGGTACAGTTAGGGATCGGACATTATCATTTTTGCATGACTTTTTAGTAAATTGACCGAGATGGCTTTTTCAGGATATACCAACACTTTAATCTTTTTAGAATGGGACAATTCATCTGGTAAACTGTCCTGTTTTACCGTCTATAGTCTGAATATATATCTACGTCTAGTCCATATATATACTGTACACAACTTGTTCTAAATGCCTAAAAGTTGGGCCGGTACTTTAAATGAATCTGAGTTTTCAGAGCCAAATTATATAAATTAGTATTTTTATTATTTTACAAGATTCAAAAATAATTGCTCACATTTTGGAAAGTTTAGGCGTCGTACTCGTACAACTTTGATTTTTATGCAAACTTTGTATTTTTTTAATTAAGGACGATGCAAATATTGTCACTTGATACCCATACCATTTTATTGAGACACCCTGTTATTTGGGTTTAGAGAACAACTGTTCTACAGTGTGTACGTCAAGACGCATTATTCTTTTCTGGGATAAATTAAAAAAGGCTTAATTCACATCCAATAAACGTTAGATTAAAATCTTATTCCTCTCTTTACAGAGATATTCTGAAGAAATAGTTGCAATTTCTAGTAAACATTCAAATAATTCTTTCGGGGCAACTTTTAAAACTAGCAGATACGAGGTCACAAAGTCGTTGACTGTTGCCTGGTGTGTAGATTGAAGTAATTAGGTTCTGAGTTCTTACCACAAACTCAAATTTTCTAATCCTTTTATCTTTGAAATATTAGTTTGCAAACTTAGATTTGATTTTATAAAATATATAGTTTGGAATATGAAAGATATACGTAATCGATACGTCATCGGGTCGCAAAGAATAAACTCAATTCCTTTCCGATTTTTCTTTAGTTTCGCTTGGAGTGAGATCTTATTTTTAAACTCTTCAAAAAACACAAGAAATATCGTCTACACTATATTTGTACTTTTAAATTGTAACGTCAGTCTTTTATCTCTCATTTCTTGACGGCAGCAGCTGCCTTCTTGGCCTTCTTCTCTGCCTTAGGCTTGGCGGCCTTCACTGCCTTGGTGGCCTGAATTAAAGGAAACTTGATAAATTTCAATCATACAAATCTTTTTAATTGACAATTTTCCTTTCCCGTTTTTTAACGCAACCAATCATATTATTGCTATTTTTTACTTTTTGGATTTAATTTCTATCTAAAGAAAATCTGAAGAAAATCAACACATTCATATTTGCTTACTCCGAACATTATCTTACAATCAAACCAATCTATTTTGGCTTTGAATAATCTATATAAAAAAGCTTTTCGCTTATATATGTTAGCTAAAGCTTGCCAAACGGCTGAAGCGAATTGGCTAAAATTTTGAGGGAACCTTGGGTAATAGGCTAAAAAAAGTTTTTTCTTCATAAATCGAATTTCTTTTCAAATGTCGACTTTTTCTTGAAACTTCAAAAAAAAATTCTAATTTGTTTAAATTTTAACGGGCAACGCCGGGCACTTCATCTAGTTTAATATATATACCTTGACTGCCTTCTTCTTCTCCGCCTTTTTGGAAGCTTTCTTTGTTTTTGTTGTTTTCTTGACTCCTAGAGCATCATTCTTCTTCGCCTCCGCCTTCTTCTTAGCTGCTACCTTAGCACTAGGCATCTTCAATCTAGTCAATAATAATAATAATAATAATAATAATAATAATAATCATAATAAAAATAAAAATAATAATAATATAATAATAATGATGATAATGATGATAATAATAATAACAATAATAATAATAATAATCATCATAAAAAATTTGAATTGTGAAAAATTATGAAAATGATGACAAAAATATGAATGAATATGATGAAAATGCATATCTGAAAATAAAATGTATAAAATATAAAATTAATAGAAATAAACATGATTGAGATTAACTAACTAAGGGATGGGGAAATATCTTATATGGAATTAGGGATGGGGAAATTCTTGGGTAAAAGGAGGGTTGTGGGGTAATATTGGAAGTTTGCCATTATTAAGGGGGAAAACGGGGTGTCCTTTACGCACCCCCCCCCCCCCTCCGGCCACCACCCACACTCCACAGGTTCACAACAAAGAATTTATAAATATATTTTTTTTTGTTCTTATAAAAAGTCATTTTCAATATCTTAGATTATTTGTCATACTACGGCAAGATATACGGCAGAAAGATATATATTCTTTGCTTATTATTATACATATTATTTACTTTTTTATAATTTGATAAGCAAAATATATAGTTTTTAATGTGAAATCTTAGGGTTTTATAACGAAAAACAAACAATTTAATTGAAACAAAAAAAAATTGTATAATTTTTTACACATAGTTTTGAAGGAAAGATAGAAAATATTTATTTAATGAAAATGATATATTTAGGATTATGTTGCATTTTTCATATCTTTTTACCTTTTTAATGTGTATGTAATGTGTGTGAACGAATGAGGTCTCAAAGCTTGACTGACTGAGGTTGAGGTATCTCCCTAGTCCCTACTCCCTAGTCCCTGGCCGCTAGCCGCTACTACTACCGTCTACAGAATAGAGGTTTACTACAATTTAATTTCCCGCCTTTCTGTAGTGTAGCCGTTGAACCCCACTTGTAGAAATCACCATAAGGCCCCAAAAAAATATTTTAAAATTTTTGTGTTCTACATAATTTTATTGGAAATTTTATGATGAATTCAAATCTGAAAAGTGCTTTTAAAAATTCTAAATGTTAAAGAAGTTATAATAGCCTTAAATAACGGTCCAAAAATCTGTTGAATGTTTTTGGTGAGTTTTTTAGCTGTAACTCATTCAATTTTTATTTTTTTTAAGCGCTTTTCAGATTTGAAAATGATGTGTAACATGAAATTTTAAAAGATATTTTTTGGGGCCTTACGGTGATTTCTCCGATATTAAATCGTCAACTCGATGGACGATTTTGAATTTTTTTATTGCAATATTTTTGTTAATTGAAACGCAGCAACCTCTGGATGGGCGGTTAGCTGATTTCTAAAAAAGTCACAAATCAATCACCCTTATTAGTTGGGATTCTGAATTCTTGTGAAGTTGTGAACACTTGAATTTTTGAATTTTGAATTTTGAAATAGTTGAATTTTAGGATTTGATTTTCCCTATGTTACAGTTAGGTTTTTGGAATTTTAAAAGACATTTCACAAATGCTGTGAACTCCTAAAGGTTTTAATTAACAGGGTTTTAACATTTAAAACTGCATTATGTAAGAGATTGCTTATAATGAAATATGAAAAAAACTTTATGCTAAGAGAAAATATAATGGAAAATCTAACTAATTAAAAGGATCGTTTTTGTTTCGTTTATTCCATAAATCTACTTTTAAGGGTTAAAATTTGGCATAAGGTTAGAATATATTTTTGTGAGACCAAAATTATCCAAATTTAAATTTAGCATATTGGGAATTTTTCTATTTTTGAAAGGAATGTCGTTGAAATTAAAAGTGAACTTCCAATGCCCGATTTAATTCGGTATTACCTGGTATTACCTTTAAACCTTGATCTGATCAATAATAAAGAAGATAACATTGTTTTTCTAGCTTTCTTGGCTTATAATGGTACCGTTTATAGGGTTCAATTGTTGTTTTAAAACTATTGAAAAAACGTCGATTTAGTTTCGTTTTATCAGAAAAAATGATGGATCACAACGAACAAACATATCGTTTTAAGCGTTTGAAAAACGAAAACGAACTGAGAATACGATCGTTTTGAAAATTTTTTGCTCTTAAATTTGAGTTTTAGACATTTATTTTCAAATTTATTACCGTAAAAAAAGTTTTTTTAATATTGTCCTACATGGTTTTACTAACGAGAGAAATGACCTAAATGTTTTCTGAGAGTTTTTCTGATCTAAGGGTTTTTCTGATTTAAGGTTTTTTTATCAAAGAGTTTTTTTTGATCTAAGAGTTTTTTATCTAAGGATTTTTCTGAGCTAAGGGGTTTTCGACTAAAAAATGTATTTTTTCTAAATTTTGTTCAATTTATTTGAGTAAGAATATTAAAATGACGATTTAAAGAATTAACCGGATTGAGAAAGTAATGGTTTGATTGTGAAAATTACATTCCTAAAAATACTTTTCGAGTAATTGGTTGAATCATAGCAAATCACAAACCCAGGCTTCATTTTTTAATTCAACAAATGTCACCTTGAAATTTATTTGATTTTGTTATTCGATATTGTCATTGATAATTTATGTCAACAACAACATGATTGGTGTAAAAATAATCTATTCTGCAAAGGCAGATCGTTAACAATTAGGGCTGTCGTCAACAATATACAGGGTCGTCGTTATCTGTCGTTAAAGATAATAACAAAGGGTCGTTGAAAACAGTCGTTAAAGATCGTGAACTAAGGGTCGTCAAAAAAATGTTGATTATTAAAAGTCGTCAATGAAAATTGATCGTTGACGGTCGTCAAAAAATAAAAGCGACATACTTTCGTTGACGAAACGACAAACTAAAACTAAAAAACGAATGTTTTTTTATTTTATAACCGATCTTTTTTTCGTTTTTCTTTATTTCCCTGCCATTCACAAAACGAAATGATTGTTTTTCAAAAAAAGTGAATACCTTGTACCGTTGCCCTTTGAAATCAAACTTCCTGTTCTGTCAATCAAAAAAAAAAACTAGGCTTCCAGTGTGCTTTGTGCCCCTCTCCTGGCACATTAAGCGTTTAATTGCATATATGCAAGCTATCATTCATTCTTTGTAAAACGTAAAACTCAACATTTTGAAAATTTTTCTTTGCACATTGATACATTTCTAAAATTGAAAAAGGCGACAATTTTTCCAAACTTAACCTTAGCCTTTTTATATAGAGTTGCATTATGATGGTTAAAAAGTAAAGGTATTAATTTAAATAAAAATGAATAATCGACATCCTTCAGAAGATTGATTTTTCTTTGTAAACAAAAACAAAAATTCAATAATTTTTATTTTATTTATCCTTTTCATTTCCACAATTTCTTTGGACTAATTTATTGATAAAGAAATACATGACTTACGAAATTAGAAACTAAAAAATATAATTTTAATTATCACTGATATAAAACAATTTTAATATCGTACATGTTTAATCAAAAATCACTGTAAATCAACACAAGTTCATTAAAGTTATCAAATTACAAGTTTCAACAAAAAAATAAACTCAGACTTCCAAATGCACATTAAACTTTTGAGTTTCAAAAATAACTGAGCCTTATATAAAAACCCAAATTTTCTTTTAAACAATTCTGAAAAAAACTCTAGGAAGGTTTTTAAACTTAAAAGATGTCTGTAAAAACATAAAATATTTTCTTGCGATTACATTGTTATTTTAAAAGTAACATTATTCTTGATTAATGAATTACTCATTTAAGTTCTGTTCTGTTCAACATTATCAATTCCAAAAATATTACTTTGAAAATTTATAAAGAAAATTTTAACTTTTGTTTTGTTTATTTAGTTTCCTTTTAGTTGCATTTCATATTCCAAGCCATAAAGAATTAAATTTTTCCTTTCATCATATTTTGTAACGTTGATTTGCTTTATCAACAAAATGGCGTCAGGGATTTGTTTCTGCAACGTGTCAGTGAGTTCGCGAGGAAGAAGCGGGCGAAGACGATCTTGAATGACCTGGACTAAAATACGCGGTATTGTGCACAGGACTGTTAAATGGAGAAGAGTTATCGCTTGTCAAGAAACTAGTTCTCCGGCTGGGACTACCGCTTGGAGAGAGATTTACAAGTCGAATCGGACTTTTTTCTCGTTGTAAGAGATCCCTTGCTTCCACAATTTTGCATTGAACCTAAATATAAACATAAAACATTCATGAATCTCACAGACATATTTTCAATTTTCTTCTTTTTAAAGAAAATAACCTACTTTGGTGACAATTCCTCCATCTTTAATTAAAACAGGGTCCGTAAACTGGACACTGTGTTTTGGAGTCCCAGAGGGGGTGGAGCCAGGGGTGTCAAGGGTGGAGGGTGTGGCAGGAGAGGCGGATGGACTCCTGGTAGCATGGAAGGAGTTTCTCATTGGAGAGGCTAGAGGAGAAGTTTGTCGAGATGTTAAAGGTGATGCAAGAGGTGATTGAGATCGGTGTTCAAGTTTTTTCCTGAAGTATAATAGATTTTTTTAAGCATGTCTTTGTACTTAAAAATTACTAAAAGATAAATTGATTATGTCTAAAAGAATGACCCCCAAAATATGGGTTTCTGCAGAAATTTCATAGGCTTGATCATATGAGAGGGAGAACATACCCTCCCGCTTCCTAGAACATTGTACGGCATAAGATAAGATAAGATATTTGCAAATTGCAAAATCGTAAAATTCGCAACAATCATTGCATGTTTTTGTGGAGGGGGGAGGGGGGGGGGGGGTAGTGTTACCTGAAAAACATTGAAGCCCCAGATCTAAGACTGGAGAGTCTGTCAGGGGTTGGGGATCTCGACGCCCTGGTTGCCCCAACTCCAGGGTGAGATGTTAACTACACATGAACAAAAATCAAGATAATGATTTTTAAATTCAAAATTCTGGTTATGATACAGAAGTCCTACAAAAAGAACCAGAAATGAATGGAAGAAATGAACGGATGAAATCAATGTCGTCTTAGTTCTTCCTTTTACTTAAGAAATTTCGTGAATAATTTTGTAATTTGCAATTGTTGCAACTGATATAATTTAAAGAATGTTCAGGGCACCTAAAACTTTTCATAACAATTTTTCCTCACAATTTTTGTACTTTTCAAATTTTTATACCTTTAAAAAAATTAATGCCATTTGGAAAACATTTATGAAATAGATTTAATGTATATATATTTAATGAACTATAGACTTAAACATGGGCGATTTCAATTGTGAACATTTTCTCTTTGTATACATTGTAATAATAACAAAATAACAATAAAATTAATAACAAAAGTATAATAAAAAAATTTCGTGGATTTTCAAAATTTCATGACAATCGAATTTGGTTGAGGCAAATGTTTGGAACTTTAATCATTCATAAATAAACCTTTCTAGAGAGAATTTTACACAAAAACAAATTTGTCAATAACCATTTAATTTTTCGCTTTCAAGCTCCGATTTGTAAAAGTTGCAGCTGGCCACTAGCTTTCCTGGAAAGCAAATCGTTGATTTTATAATGCGAGCAAATAAATATCTAAGATTTTTTCTATTTTTTAAACCAATAATATCTCTGTTAATTTACAGTGAATCCCATATATATGAATACATAGACCGTCATAAGTTTTTTGATAATTCAAAAGAAACTTCTTTTTATTTATTAATTCAAGGTAAATATTTGTAGCCCTGAAATATGAATGCAATTAATATATTAATATTAAACTCATTTTTCCGCGGAATTTGATCTTAAATATGTAATACGGCATTATTAAATACTATGTATTCATATTTCTGGGATTCACTGTAGCAAAAAAGGTTTAAATGGGATACTATTGGGAAATTAGGATTATGTGGATGAATAAAAACATCACTATATGATGATAACAACAAACCTTTGCTAGACATTGCTTAGCATCTCCTGTAGCCATATCCAGAGGTGTAGCACCTCCCAAGTTGGTTATATTTGGAACAGATCCGGCCTAAATTAATGGTATGGATTAGATTTAAATAAAAACAGTAATATTTAGAACTAGTCCGGTTCAAACTGGAAACATTTCCTTCTGATCAGGCTTAAAATGGTTATTTAGTACATTTTCATGTTATCCAACCCAAACAGGTTATATTTGGATCTGACTTGGTCAGAACTTTTGAGTATCGTTATTCTTGAAAGCTTGATCTTGATATCCAATCTAGACACTTTTAAATTTGAGTTTAAGTGCTTGATCCCTTAGTTCAAGTTATCCCTGCAAGGTATAATCATCACTGGATAACAAAGTTATCCCTGCTAAGTATAATCATCACTGGATAACAAAGTTATCTCTGCAAGGTATAATCATCACTGGATAACAAAGGTATCCATGCAAGGTATAATCATCACTGGATAACAAAGTTAGCCCTACAAGGTATAATCATCACTAGATAACAAAGTTATCCCTACAAGGTATGATCATCACTGGATAACAAAGTTATCTCTGCAAGGTATAAACATCACTGGATAACAAAGGTATCCCTACAAGGTATAATCATCACTGGATAACAAAGAGGAATTAAACTAATCTGTAAGTCTGCATGAGCTGAAGATCACAACACAAAGTTCTAATTTCTGGTAAATTTTATATCTGATCCAACCCAATCAGAGTCTGAATTTAATGAATTTGAGCCTTGTCTCAAATCCGCCTGAAACCGGTTTCAATTGAGTGCCGGCTTGAATCTTGAAACATTAAATACGATTTTAGGTCAAACCAACCATATTTAAGCCGCATCTCAAATTTAAGCCGCGGCTCAAATTCTTTAAATTCGGCCGCTGGTTATATTTCAAGTCAATCTGATCTAATCTGGTTATATTTAGAGTCAATCTGGTTTAATCTGGTTTTATTTAGAGTCAATCTGGTCTAATCTGGTTTTATTTAGAGTCAATCTGGTCTAATCTGGTTAAATTTAGAGTCAATCTGGTCTAATCTGGTTATATTTAGCGTCCATTAGGTCTAATCTGGTTATATTTAGAGTCAATCTGGTCTAATCTGGTTATATTTAGCGTCAATCTGGTCTAATCTGGTTATATTTGGAGTCAATCTGGTTAAATTTAGAGTCAATCTGGCCTAATCTGGTTATATTTGGAGTCAATCTGGCCTAATCTGGTTATATTTAGAGCCAATCTGGCCTAATCTGGTTATATTTAGAGTCAATCTGGCCTAAAATTTTTTCATCGGGGTGTTTTTTGAAACAAAAAGCTTGGTGATTAAAATCAAGATTCAGATATTCGCTAATAACCCAATACCAAATTTCATTTCTTAGGTTTTCCGTCACCATTTCTTCTAATTTGTTTGACAAGGGAAAAAATGATCTTAAAGAAAAAGTACTAAGAATAGAAAAGCGGAAGTAATGAGAAAATACAATATGAAACAAGCCAAATAAACTGAGCTTGTGCTACAAACTCAAATTTTCTAATCACTATTTCTTTGCAACCTGATGGTGTAAACCTTTGTTATTTCAAGCATATATTGTTTTACATAAAAGAAATATCTAAGGTCGACACAAACTGGGTTGAACAAATAAGAGCTTGTGATTTAAGGAACAGATAGGCAAGCTCTCTCCTGTTCCAAAAATGTGCTTGCCAGCCGGATCGTTTCACAGTCGCGGGGTCCAATTAATACTACGTGGGAATGACTCAATTTCTTTGTCCATGACCCCCCGCCGGGGCCGGCCCCCCTCCCCACCCCTCTCATTATGATGATTATGTTTTTTGTACCTGGAGCAGATAATTAACAATTTGAGGGTCTCCATTAGCTGCCGCAGCATGTAAACAGCTTTCACCATTCTAATAAATAAAAAAGATAATGATTTAAAACAGAAAATGTAGCTGGAAAGAAGAAGAAGTACTGTCCCCGGGATCAGGGAGACTGGAGAATGTTTGTTGATGGCCTATATATTCCAATAGAGCCTGACAGCAGTAAGTTGGCATAGTAATAAATAAAGCGATAATTAAACTCTATTAATTTCTCTCTATTTATATTTCTACACTGTGGGTGAACCACAGAGTTAATTTCTCTCTATTTATATTTCTACACTGTGGGTGAACCACAGAGTTAATTTCTCTCTATTTGTATTTCTGCACTGTGGGTGAACCACAGAGTTAATTTCTCTCTATTTATATTTCACTGTGGGTGAACCACAGAGTTAATTTCTCTCTATTTATATTTCTACATTGTGGGTGAAACCAAAGAGTTAGTTAGTCTCTATATATATGTCTTAACTGCAGGGCGAAACCACAGAGTTAGTTAGTCTCTATATATATGTCTTAACTGTAAGCGAAACCACAGAGTTAGTTAGTCTCTATTTATATTTCTACACGTGTGTGGAACCAGAGAGTTAATTCCTGTCTATCTGAATTTCTGCACTCTGGGTGGAACAACAGTGATAATTCCTCTCTTTTTATATTTCTACACGGTGGGTGGACCTAGAGAGGTAATTCAGCTATTTATATTTCTACACTGTGGGTGGACCTAGAGAGGTAATTCCTCTCTATTTATATTTGGGTGGAACAACAGTGATAATTCCTCTCTTTTTATATTTCTACACGGTGGGTGGACCTAGAGAGGTAATTCAGCTATTTATATTTCTACACTGTGGGTGGACCTAGAGAGGTAATTCCTCTCTATTTATATTTCTACACTGTGGGTGGACCTAGAGAGGTAATTCCTCTATACAATCCTCTTATACCAGTTAGAAGATTGAGATTAATGGTCCCATGGAACCAGAAATGTAGTTTACTGTATTACATGTGAACAGTGTAAACTACAATACATAGGACAGACAACAAGATCTTTAAATGAAAGAGTGAGAGATATAATGTGTATACTTCAGTCATTGTTTAACCCACCAAAACTTCGTCACTTTTAAAACACTAGCCTTATTATAGGGCGCTTCGCTTCGCGCCCATCTTCTAAATTAATTGTGAACATGTTCTCTTTATTTACATCGTAAAACAAAACAAAAATAATTCGCGGATTTTCACAAAAAATTTCGTGGATTTTCAAAATTTTCAAAAATTTAATGAAGATCGAATTTTGATGGAGACAAATATTTGAAATTTTGACCATTCATAAACCTTCCCTGTGGTCACGTGATGTCCCACAAAAAATTTGGGCCCGATTGGTTCAGCCGTTTTGACGTTGATTGGATACAAACAAACAAACAAACAGACAAACAGACACCAAGACAAGCCAAATTTATATATAGTAGGTAATCCAAATGATTTTTTGTAAAATTAGTATAAAGTATGAGTGTTTCACAAAGTTAGCATTCTAAATTTTTAAAAAAATTAGCTGGCTTTAGAAATTGAACAGTAAACTTATAATAACCCTAGAAATATTTACTTTAATGCTACTTAGAGGGCTGGGGCCTGGACCCCCCCCACCGCCCTCCCTCATACTATTCAGTTTACATAGATATACAGAGAAAAATAATTAAGCCACCAAACGACAGTAAAAATACTCTATCTAATTTTGAATTGTAAATATTTTTTACGTATTCCTTCAAAGACGACATTTATCTCCACCGAATCTTAGAAATCATATCAACTAATTAGAGGACATGTAGTCTTTTTTTTCTTTTGACACATATGACGTTGTGTTGATCGATTTTGGTCGATTTTTCAGTTGCCATCTATTGTACTTGACAATCTATTTGATCTTGAGGGTTTCAAAAAGTATCATTTATTTTGAAGATCAACCAAGTAAACCAAAATATAGAGGAGATGATCTGTGTCTCACTATATCTACCTGTAAAATTCCAAGATTCGGTCTGAATTTCAATATTTCTTTGACAACCTCTCTATGCCCTTTATCACATGCCTAAATAATTCTTTATTAAATAGACCGTTGACGTACAGGGTGTCCCACGAAACATGACAGTATGCAGGACGACTTGAATGTCGTCTTGATTTTTGATATAATTTGCTGCGTTTATTTGTCAACCTAATTTTAGAAGTAAATTTCTAGAGATAATAATCACAAAATTTCCCTTGTCCTGCCATTTCCAAAATGTGGTCTGCCTTTTTTGTGCTTTCAATATTGCCCGAGATATGAAGAATTTCGTTCAGATTTCGACAATTTTGCTTTTATTTAACAAAATTGAAATCTGAACCAAACTCTTTATATCTCAGGTAATATTGAAAGCACAAAAAACGCAGACCACTTTTTGGAAATGCCAGGGCTAGGAGAATTATGTGATAATTGTTTCAAGAATCATACATGTTAAAGTAGATAGAAGACTAAATGTCAAAAATAAATTCAAATACCAAAGACGACTTTCAAGTCGTCTTCCTATTGTCATGTTTCGTGGGACACCCTGTATGTACATAACGGTGTATTGTAAAATTTAATCTAAACAACGAGGATAAATGTCGTCGTTTTTCACTTGAAATTACGTTTATTATACTTCCTGAACTGATTAATGATCAAAAACTCTAATTATCTAACCTTTGCGTTTGATGTTGTAAACTTTTAATATTTAATTTTGTCAGGTTGCAATGATAAAAGGAGTAGAAAATTAAATTTAAGACGGCTTAACATTTTATTTTGTTGTAAAATAAAATTTGGTTCAATTTTTACCTTATACAAAGGAGTAGCACCATCCCCTCTGGCTAAATCGACCTATACTCATTCAAAAATTTATTTACATTTGCCAAACTTTAAAACAAAATAACAGTTTTAAGCTCAATGTATTTGAAAAAAGTTTAACTAAATTCTGTTCAGTCGTCTCTGAATTAAGTCTCATTTGCTATGGGTCACCCTGTATCTAATACAGGTCACCCTGTATCTAATTTTTAGTTTCAAGAAACTTATTTTGAAGTATTTAGAATTTTCTATTCTTCTCTAAACAAACTTGAATGCAAGTTTTGAGTTTGAAAAAAAAGACATTTTCACTTTTCAGTGACTTTTTATTTTCTAGATAATTTATAGGTTTACTAAACTCAGTAATTTTTCGTACAAGGAACTATATTTTTTGTCGCAATCTTTGAAGATCTAATCTCTATCTTTTAGAAACATAATGACAGAGACCTTTGATATTTCTATATAATCTAATTTTGAAATATCAACGTTTTACACTATCAGGTTTCCAAGATGTTGACTTGAGTTTATGGCAAAACTTATTTTCTTATCTAAAAAACTACTAAGTTTGGTAAATCTACAAATTATCTAGAAACTAGAGAGCTTGAGAGGTCGCTTAACTACCTACCGGCGGTTCAAATCCTGAATCACCGATTCAAATCCTCATAAACATTTGAATAATTAATTAATTAATTAATTAAATCTGATCCAAGAGACACTGTTAACCAAATACGTGAGAAAAAAATAGCCTTTATTTAATCTTAAAGACAGCCTAATTTGGATTTTTTTTATGATAAAGACCTATAAATTGCTGTTTTTTAATTTAAAATAAATTCCTGTGCTCCGGCTTTGAGAAGGATTTGAACAATATCTTGATGTCCCATCTGAGCTGCAATCCATAATGGTGTAGCTCCATCTCTTCTCTGCTGATCCAATCCAATACAATCCCTTTTCTGTTTATCTAATCCGTCACAATCCCGTTCGTTCGAAAATCCAGCCCCCCTTGTGACAATTTTTTCCCTTGTAATCTGTTCTATCTCCCTCGTGTCCCTTGTAATCTGTTCAATCTCCCTCTTGTCCCTTGTTATCTGTTCTATCTCTCCCTTGTCCCTTGTAATCTGTTCAATCTCCCTCTTGTCCCTTGTAATCTGTTCTATCTCCCTCGTGTCCCTTGTAATCTGTTCTATCTCCTCCTTGTCCCTTGTAATCTGTTTTATATCCTCCTTGTCCCTTGTAATCTGTTCTATCTCCTCCTTGTCCCTTGTACTCAATAACTCTTCCACTACTCTGCTGCAGCCGTTCTAAAAAAACATACTGTGATAACCAGAAAATAGTAGAATAGGAAGACGACATTAAAGCAATACTGAAGTGCATTGGATCTTGTTACAAAGAAAATAACTTTACTAGCAAGTTATCAAATTGCTTATTAGGTGAAATTGGTCTGTTCACATTGCACAATTGCTGAGCCAGAGCTCATTGGACTAATAACATAAATACAGAGCTGACAACTTAAGAATGGGATATCCTTAATCCCGATCGGTTAATTAATCTGGAGATTAATAACAAGAGGAGAACCAACATTATTTAATCTGGAGATTTAGAAAAAGAGGAGATCAAGCATTGGTCTCGATATCCACCATACTAAAGTTTTCAGCTCAGTACATGCAGATGTTACGGTACTTATAATTTCAAGTTAACCGCCATTTGTTGAGTTGCTCTCCTGATTCACAACGGTACCATTAAAAGCTTTGTGTGTGATTAAGGATAAAATAAATAAAAATAACTTGCGGATCTATTTTAAGCAGAAACACTGGAAGAACTGTCAGAATCAAACACTTATCAAGCAAGTACATAAAACTTAAGCCACCTAAAGCTTACAAGTTAGGACAAAATGTTTATTTAAATAACTGAACAGTCCCTTTAAACTGACCTGGGCAGCAAGAAACAAAGCTGTAGCTCCATCCCACATAGTAGTATTTAAGCTTGCTCCCTCCTTAAATATTTAAAAGGATTGTAAGCGTAATTTCAAGTGACCTTTCATTTGAAGAGGTGCATAACTGATTCACAACGGTACTCTATAAACCCTGGACAGACTTTTCTTTATACTATTATTATTATCTACAGAAACACTTTTCACATATAAACAAAGAGTTCTCTGTCCTTGATTATCAGTCAAAGGTTTGAAGGGTACTGTTGTGAATCGATGCTGTTAATTTTTAAATGGAAGGCCTTACAACTCCTTTAATTACAAAAATAATTATAAAAATATCCATAAAAGAAAATGTTATCAGAAACATGGTTTATATCTTTACACTCTGTTCAGACCAAACAGCAGAACTTCAAAGTGGGCCCAGTCCAGATTTTATTTAAAAGTTATTAATTTTTACTATCAATTTTATTAATTATGGTAAAATATAGAGATACCCAAGGAGTTTTCCTGATTCTTTTTTTATATTTAAAAATTGTTTTTAAAAAAATCCTTGCTTGGTTACTTTATTTATTGCAACTAGTACATTACCTAAAAGTTACCTCAGAGGCAGAGCCCATTTTGGACTATTTAATGTATATTTTAGAAATGATAAGAGTCAAAACTTTACAGGTCACACACGTGACACAGAGTCTTGGATATATTATATATATATACCCCTCTAATTAGACAGTAGGAGCAAGGAACGTTTATTGTGACCTCGTAGCTCCTCTAGTTGTCATGTTCCACACAAGTAAGAGATAAGCAAAGGAACTGAGTTTTTGCCACAAACGCTGATTTGCTAACCCAATGTCGTAGACCTTTGTTATTCGAAACTATGGATCCTGTTAGATTAAATAGTCTAAGTATGAAATATCAAAGATTTGCCTTATCAGGTTGCAAAGATATGGGAATTAGAAAATTTAGTTCGTGGCAAAACTCAATTCCTTTATTCGATTAAATATAAGAAATTCAAAACCTTTTAATTCTTCTCAATAGCTCTACATTAAGAAGGCGTTATTATTGAAAACCTAAAAGATTTGAATTTGACGTGGAATTTACTTTAATTTGACGTGATTAACCTTTATGAGGTGTTGTACTAAATCAAGATGACCAGCCTGTGCAGCTATCATTAGAGGTGTACCTCCCTCCTGAAAATAAAAAAAAATGATAACGTTAATAATAAAAACAATACTTAAACAGTAAAAATTATTATAGCAATAATAACAATGATAACAATGATAATTCTAATAATAATAATAATAATAACAATAATAATAATCATAATAACAATAATAATAATAAAAATAATAATAATAATAATAATAATAACAATATAACAATTCTAATAATAATAATAATCATGACAATATCAATGGTAACGCTAATAATAATGATACCTGTGATTGTAAGTTTATATCGCCACCTGCCTGCCTGAGTAGTTTAAGTATATCTAGAAAACCTCCCTGACAAGCTAAACAAACAATACTTCATTTAAGGGAGTGTTAACCATTCATAAAGAGGGTAATACAGAGGTTCGAATTTAGTGAATTTGAGCCGCGTCTCAAATCCGCCAAAAACCGGTTTCTTTAAATTCGGCCTCAGGATAAACAAATGTATCGTTGCCTCTTTTTATCTTTTATCTAGAGGTAATGTGTCGTTAAACTTTCATGTGATCCTACATTTAAAGATTATACTGTTCTATTCACTACGGTAGCTGAACCCTGTTTTCTGAATGAGTGGGTCGTTTTTCTACCTTAAAGAGTGTTTCATTCTGACAGTTTCCTGACATTTCTCTGCATCATATCACTGTTATTATCTCTAATTTTATTATGAAATAGATAGAAAGATAGATGTTACCGCCATGCAATTTCTATTGGTTCAGAATAGACACCAAACACATGGCTGAACCCTCATTGGATCAGGCGCTAATGGATTCGGCATACTAGAGTGATGCCGGCTCGGTTTAAACTTTGATGGCACGGCCAGACTTTTACAGTCCCCTGCCTATTATTGTTCAATTTGAATTTGAAAACCTACACATATTTTCTAACAGAAAACCTACAAATATTTTCTAACAGAAAACCTAAACATATTTTCTAACAGAAAACCTACACATATTTTCTCACAGAAAAAAATAAATCCTTAATCAGACAAAAGTTTTTAGGGAACCATCGAGAATCTGAAATGACACACTGTATATGCATGGTCAGCTTGAAATTAGATCTGCTCTGCAGTCTCTTTTATTGAAAATATTTACTCATCAAACATCTTATCAAAGTAAGAAAATAAACATTAATCAAAACAATAAATCTATTATTTCATTAATTCATGAACTGGCAAATTGTAATCAATTAAGCTGACCTTTTATACAAAAATGTTTACTTAAATTAAAGTGCTTTTTAAAAAACATATCTATTGATTTATCAGTTAATTAGAAGAACTAAATATTTTCTTCAATTGATAAATAAATAGAAATATAAAATTTAGTATTTACCAATAAAGGCTGCAGACACTCCAGTAATTTTCCTAAATAAAGTATTATTATTATTATTATTATTATAATTATTACTAACTGAATTGGGCCCGGCGTTCCCCGTGAACGAAAAAAAATTGGATTTTTGTTTAAATTATTCCAAAAAAATGTGGAAAAAATCGCTTTTTTATGCCTATAACACCCCCAAGCTAGCTACTCATGTGTGTCCACAAAAAATTTCAGCCCAATAGGTCCAGCAGTTTGGCCGGCTATACGCAACATATTTATATATATATATATGAATGTCTTGTTTTATTTTATTAACTAATACTATTATTATTATTATTATTATTATTATTATTATTATTATTATTATTATTATTATTATCATTGCTGCCATTATTGTTTTTGTTGGTCTTACAAAAAAAAACTTTGGTTCAATATAGATTAATAATACACTTAAAAAATGATTTTCTGCTGAAATGATATTTAATAATTGTTATTAACCTGATATTTGGATCTGCCCCCTCGTCTAGTAAAATCTTGACCACACCCACTTTCCCTGATGAGCAGGCAACCATTAAAGGAGTTGTCCCGTCCTAAAATAATATTGTTACAAATGTAACAGCCCTCGGGTTTATCATTAAATCCCTCGGGGGTTTAAATTTCCATTGATTCTAATTTGTCTGAGGGTAAATGACATTCCTTTGTAAATATTTGTAAATATTCCTTAGGGGTGGGATTCAATGAAAATTGTTGCATACCAAAAAACCAGCTTTTTATAAAGGAATGATCATTGAAAAAGGTTTTTTTTTATTTTTGTCAAATTAATTCCAGTTTTATCAATTGATCAAGTGATCTTGTTAAAGTTAAAATCGAAGTTAAATCGATTTGAACCTTAATCAGTTAGCACAACATGCTCAAATGTGCAAAACAAATATATTTTGTCTTTATGAAAAAAAAACTAAAAACATGAAGATTTCATAGTAAAATAATTGCCAACATTTACGTCGTTTTAAGTTTTTTTTATTTTCCTTTACCAGCGCTACCATATATATATATATATTTCTTCTAGGGAACGAAAATTTAAAATTTTCATGTTAATGTCATAAAAATGCCACACAGATAACCTTAGAATTTTTTTTTTATGAAAAATGTTTAATTTTGATAGTAAAGAAAGCAGAGATGGGGGATGAGGGAGTAATAAATCTTAATTATGTAGCAAAAATCGTGTATACATTATATGCTGTAAAACTTGCAGTATGTGATGCACGATTAAAAATTTGAGATTATAGACTTATACATAATGATATTATTCATTGAAACTGCGTTTTAATTGAATACCGTAGCATGATTAGATTAAATCAGGCGACATACTTAAGTTGCGGTATAAACATATGTGGAAATAGCTTAACTACGTTATATCTATTCTCATTTATCTTATAAAGACGTACATTGTTAGTACGTAACTATGATTGTCTTAATCATATGATATAGATAACGACGAAGGAATTGTAACTACGTCAAGTCATGTTAACTTGTGACATAAGATATTAAATTAAGTTTAGTTTATAGATTAACTCAGTACTGTTTGTTGTATAGCTAAGCTTGTGTCCTTGTGTGGCATTTAGAGCACTGGATCGTCACCATCATTTGGGATCGATATATAGCTTGTTGTATAGCGTTCCTGTGTGGCAATTAGAGCACTAGATCGTCCCCATCATTTAGAGGTATTAGTAGCTGGATTTTGATAGCTACGATTATGTCCCTGTGTGTCTTTTAGAGCCTTGGATTCAGTCCTGGTTGAGTTTGATAGCGGAAGATTTGTACCTGGATAGATACGTTTAGCGGGAGCTAGGGTGAGCGGGGATCTGACATGTGTGGTGTGTTGTATTGGGAAAATGGATCCTGAGTACACACACATCCAGAGAATTAACATCGGCATTTGAGTTGGTACAATCGTCTTCCTTATTTTTCGAATTTGTTTTAACAATGATATATAAGGAATTGTACCAGGGGAAAAACAGGGGGAACCGGAAATGATATGATTTATAGAAAATTTTAAAATAGCATTTCGAGATTACAAATATTTTGTTCGATAATAAGAAGAAATTTAGAGATAAAGATATTTTCAAATATCTTTCTCTGGGTTTTTGTTGACAATTTCAAATAAAATGCTTTTAGTATAAGCTTTTGAGATGGGAACTCTTGTATTGTGGAAATCTGGATCAGCGCTCAATCTCGATGTTTTGTTAATCTGCAGATTAATTTAATCTGTATTTGATATCCCGTAAACAGTATCGTTTGTGGAACAACGGCAGCATTTTGCTAAACCAAGAAGAGAACAGAAGAAGAAATCAGGTAGATTAATTAAGGGTAAAATTAAAAAGTGCACTGTGGATGTCGAGATCAAGCGATCGTTATCATGGGTATCCAACCCTAAAATTTCCAACTCAGTAAACAAAATTAAAACAGATTTTTTTACGAGCAAATCTTGGGATTTTTCTATTGCATAAGTTTGGTGTTTGGGTTTTTAATATTGATCTGCCAGGGGTTGTATTTGGTAGCACATTCATCAGTCCACGCTTCATTTATTCTGAGAAGAGGGCTGACTCCAACTGCCTAAGGGCTTCTTAGACCTGAAAATACTAGAGTGCAGGAATTCTTCTGATATATCTGGAATGAGGCCCGGGTCATCACATGACACTCATTCTTCCCAATCATTTGTAAACCCGGATTGGATACCTCCAGGAACCTATAGCTTGTCCACCTTTCCTCTCTTCATCATCATTCACTTGGATCAATCCATTTCAAGTAATTCGTTCTTATTGCATAGAAAGCGCGCACCCTTTTGCTGCGAGAGATGCCAGGTGGTCATAACTGCTTAACCAGATATTTTTGAAACCACAGGTTTGTGAGGAGTGCGGGAATCGAACCCGTCTGGATATACCAATCCAGTTATTGGCCGTGAACAAATGTGCTTAACTTTAGTGACTAACGAGAACAGGTGTCACACACTAGCCAGTAGCCACCCCACCCTCTAAGAATACAACTAAGATAAATCCATAAACCCTCCTGATAATCTGAGAGGAATGCCGCAAGCTTATTTATTTTCTTCTTGTATAAATTAGGATTGAAAAGAGAAATTTCGCAACAAAGGAAAATCTTTTAGTGATTACTCAGGGGGAACTTTCTTCAATAAATCTTGTGAAAAATAAAATATATTGTAGATATAATAAAATGCATTAAAGGAAATAAAAAATTCCAGTCTTTTACTAAGAATAATCACGTTATCTACCAAAAATTTCTTTTCTATTTTGTGTTCATATCCAAAGCGGATTATTGCATTATTCTAATTTGACAATAATCTATTTATTACTTCTAAAATGTCGTCTTCATCCCTATTAAGCTTTTATCCACTTTACAGTTCTTTCTTTCCAAATTTTACATACACTTATTTTATTTATCTGTACTCCTCTTCTAAGTTACAATATCTTATCTATTATCTTCCAACACAGTGGTTCCCAAAACACATATATTCCTTTGCACAATCTTCCCAATTACTCTAACTACCCTTCCCTTCTTATCATCCTAACACTGATTGATTCCTAATACCAATTCTTTCAATCCCAAATTTCTCTACAGTTGATTTTCATCCCAATCCCAACTTCCTTTTAAGTTGATATTCATTCTAATTCACAAACTATTTTATCTACTCCCAATTGGTCATATCGTATTCATATACCTTATAATTCCCAAACCAAGCCCAATCCCAATATCTTGAACATTCGTTGATAGTCATAATTGGGATCCCAATAGTAGCAAACGAGTTAAAAGAAGTATATCAAATACCATCGAACCTCCCCCTCCCAGGGGGGAGGGTGGCTATACAAAGTCGATAATTAACCAGGATTAGAGCAAGCAAAACGATGTGGAAAAAAATCGAGAATGCTACTATATTCTCGCGGGCAGAGCGAGTGCTGAAGATCAATTGTTTTCTATATGCGATCAGATTCTAATATACTTGTATACTTTGCAACACTAGTTTTATTAGAGAAAACATCTGATTCTAATATACTTGTATACTTTGCAACACTAGTTTTATTAGAGAAAACATCAGATTCTAATATACTTCTATACTTTGTAACACTAGTTTTATTAGAGACAAACATCAGATTCTAATATACTTCTATACTTTGCAACACTAGTTTTATTAGAGAAAACATCAGATTCTGATATACTTCTATACTTTGCAACACTAGTTTTATTAGAGAAAACATCAGATTCTGATATACTTCTATAAAGGTCGGAGACGTCGTAAATTAAACCCTGAACGTGATTTAATAATCTAATATAATACAATGCCACCCCCTGAACTTAGCTAATAATATTCTGTACTAAATTCTCGAAATTTAACCTGCACAGGGGAACAACAAGAAGAGGAGAGGGAAAATTCAAAAATGTCATGATTTTTAAGTAATAAGTGCGTCCTTCCCTTCATGCTACCTATATGTGCGTCCTTCCCTTTATGCTACTTATATGTGCGTCCATCCCTTCATGCTACTTATATGTGCGTCCTTCCCTTCATGCTACTTATATCTGCGTCCATCCCTTCATGCTACTTATATGTGCGTCCTTCCCTTAATGCTACTTATATGTGCGTCCTTCCCTTCATGCTACTTATATCTGCGTCCTACCCTTTATGCTACTTAAACGTGTGTCCTACCTATTGCACAAACCATCTATACGTTCTACCCCACATACTATTTAAATGTGCGTCCTAGCCTTTGCACAACAAATCTATGCGTCCTACCCATCATACTACTGATATGTGCGTCCTACACCTCAGTCCTCATACTACTTAAATGTACGTCCTACCCCTTGTACAACTTATCTATGCGTCCTACCCCTATACCTGATCCTTGCAGTCAACATGAACACGTCCTGAGTCTAGAACTTGAACAACCCCTTCTACATCTCCTTCACGGGCTCGGGCATGCAGTAGACCAGACATTCGACACTCCATCTAGAAAAATAAAAATATGTAAAATATCATTGATATAATAATTTGTAAAATATTTTCAAATTTCACAGAAAAATAATTTAAATATTTTTCGCGTAATGTTACCCTGCCTAAAATAAAAAAATCCAGAAAATTGGGTACGGCCGTTTGGTCAGCTATAGCAAACATAAAAAGTTATATGTATATGAGTAAAGAGCTTTATCTACAGATATAAGGCTATATTAACTATTTATAACACTGTTATTTTGGTTCGCAGTGTTATCAAGTTTTTGGGCAGAAATTGTCTCTTCATCAAGAAGGCGAGAACCTTGAGATATGGAGAAAATTCAAGTTCAAAAACTTTATAGCACGTCGTGCAAAAATTATAGTGTTATAGGCAATTTTATGAAACGTGTGTGTACTTGTCTTATTTCAGTAGCTATTTCTCGATTTTTGATTCAATCAAAGCAGTCCAAATATAAAGTTGATTTCAATTTTATTTTCATTTGAATTGAAATTTTTTTTTTGGGAAATATCCTAAATTTTTTGGAAAAAATCCGGGAACCAATCAAAACCTCATAGCACACGTGCTATAATGTTTAGCTAATTTAACTTTATTGCACGATGATTACTTTATAGCACGTTCATTATGAAATTCACGATAAAGTGAGGAAGAATGATAAAGTACAAAATAGTTTCATAAAATATATTAATAACAATAATAAACATAATAATGATAAACAGTTTCATTTTGATGAAATGATTAATTACTGTTTTAGCCAAAGCATACTTAACTTCAAAAACTCAGACGATTATGTTTAAAATTTAGCTATAGTCTACTAGATCACCTCATTTTAACCTAAATCCATTTTATTTTTCTGCATGGCTTAAGAAAATCACATTCTTAAGTAGGGATATTTTGATACGCTAAAGATTGTGTGAAATATTTAGGTAAAAATCTAAAATTGATAATCATTGACTGGTAAACGTTTTGTCTGATCAAGTATGAATTCATGTTTATAGTTTAAAAACTAATCAGTTTTAGTTGTGGTTTGGGGTTTCTACAAAAATTACTTAAGCATTACTATTCACTGCTGCGGTAAAACAATGTTCATCATAATCTTTGTCTGATCTAGTATGAACTAGATATTAATGCTCAATTTACAAAGGTACCCTCAATAACTTTGTCTGATCTAGTATAAACTAGATATTAATGATTATTGATTGTAATCATAATTATTTTCAGTTGGGTTAAGAACAAAAGTTCTTTAATTGAGACGATTAAAATTAAAATTCCCAAATAATTAAGACTTAAAGAAGTGTTTATTTTTTCAATAAATTAAATTTCATGATTGAAGTCGTTTTAACATTTTATGGTTAAAGGGACTAATAGCGTAATTTCAAGTGACCTATAGAGTAGCATATCCGATTCACAACAATACCCGTTAAATCTTTGTTTAAGGATTTCGTAGATATTTTTTTGTATATAGCGGGAAATTAAGTGTCAAGAAACCACGCGATTGTACACTAGCTCAGAGTGTACATAGTGTACAAAGTGTACATTGTAACCCCTGCACACATTATTCAGCTTTACCAATGTGGGTATATCTACCTCATCGTTGCCTGGACAAAGGTTTAAAGGGTACCGTTGTGAATCGGACATGCCCCTCTACAAATGGAAGGTTACTTGAAATTATGCTTACAGTCCCTTTAACCCTGCAGTGTTAATGTTAATTTCTAACTTGTAAACTAATATATTAAAGTGTAAACTTGTATATACAGTTTCCCCTTCTTATACATCTCTCAACTATACTATATATAAACTAGGCTTTTAGGGCGCTTCGCAATTCTGAGCATTTATAAATTTTCCCTATAGGGTCATATGGTGCAACCAGGTTGACGTGGTCCGACCTAAAGCTACATCTGGTTAGATTTACAATCACTAAAACGTCAATTTTGCGTGGCCACGGCTGATGATTAATTATTTAGAAACTTTTGTTTATTTACACTAAACTTGCAGTTTCTGATCACTCATATTGCGTAATTTAGTTAAATATAAACCACCCCTCTACTCCACACATTCTAGTTTTATACAATACTGATAAAAACAATGAATAGAAAAGCTGACAACAAATCCTAATAAAAGAACAGCTGAGTTCTTGAAAATAAAGCCGAGGATTTATTTAAATACTTCTCTGATGGAATAATGAAACCAGGATGTCCAAAAAAAGTTGAAAATATTTACTTATTTATTTTATTTCTTTAACATAATTACAATTTAGCTTATTGGTACAATTAACCAGACAAAAATTATAGAGAGCAAATATCAAAATAAAAACAAATACAGTAAACAAAATCAGAATGACGATCTAAATTAGATGAATTATGGATTAAAATTGTTTTCCACTTTCTTCGAAAAATTGAAATATCACATTAACGTTTTCAGATGGGTCCGACTTTAAAGTGTCGCCAGGGCTTTGACCCTTACAAAACCACACACATGTTTTAAGCCTTGGATATGAAAATTTCAAAGCTGTGTAGCAATTGTTTCTAATCTCAATTTGAAAGGAGTATTTGGAAAGTTCCTGATTGAATAATTTGGAAAAGTTTTCTGAAGCCCTCTTTGAACATTATAAAAAGGATTAGAGTCACTTCAGTAGACAATTTCTAGGGCGTAACAAAGGCTAAAAAAAGAATTTTTTTTTCTTTAAAATTAGACTTTTTTTATCATTCGCATATATATATAAATATATATATACATGTCTACATAGCTGTCCGAACGGCTGGACCAAATTGGCTGAAATTTTTTGAGGGAACCTATGGATACCTAAACTCGATTTTTTTCTTCAAAATTCAAATTTGTTTTTAAAGTGTTTTAAAATTCCACGGGTAACGGCGGGCACTTCAGCTTCTTTGTAATATTAAGCTTGATGTAAAGAAAGAAAAAGACTATAATAGAGAAAGTAAGAAAGAAGAATGTTTAGAAAGAATAGTAATTAATATCTCATTAGTTTGTGGCGATCAAAGCATTATAGAGATATATAGAACATTTTCCATGATAATCTAGTGTATTTTTCAAATCCATTTCATTCCTTAAAAGAGGATGTGTTAAGCCTTCTCTTTGGGTATGGAAGACAGACGAGGGAGCCCAAGTTACCTATAGTTCTCAAATAAACCCTGATTTTGAATATCATTTATCCTTTCAATAATCTCAAATCCGTTCTTAAGGGATTAAATTAATACATACTAACCATTGCATGAAGCTCAATGAAGTATTGTGAAAAAGTGAACAGCTGAATTTTAAAATACGTAATCGCTTCAAATTTAAAGTTTCAACTTTGGATATTGAGTTTTCAGGCACAGTTTAAGCTGAGCTAAAAACTTTAAAATAGTGGATATTGAGATTAATGCTTGATCCTCTCTTTTTCATAATATCGAGACTAATCTAATCCTGAAAAGTGTATAAAATTCAACCAATCAGAGTCGCGTATATGAAGTCGATAAATTTGAAATTTTGCGCGCCATTTAAGATTTTATAATTAAACCCGTTTTTGATTTTTCTCTACTAGACTATATCCAAGAAAGAACGGTTTAAGAAGAAAATCAAAAGTGTGTTCATTGGATACTCAGATTAAGTAATCAGGTTTAGGGATATCTCATTCTAAAGTTTTCAGCTCAAAACACCAAAATTTCATACCAAACGATATTTTTCGCATTTTAAGAGTGCTAATAAATAAAGTATAAATTACTAAACAATGAAAGCGTTGCGAACTGTAATTCATGATATTTATTATCCTTATTTTAATGTAAAGACATGTTGTAATAATTATATATTTGTATATATTATATTTGTATCTTTGAAGAGAAATATTTAGTATTATTTTTTCATCACGTTGTTTTTTTGCAACTTTCTGCTACAGCTTTTGAAGTCTTTTTTTCAGTTTTTTGTGTCTGAGCAAAGTTTAGACATTCTTCTGTACAATGTACACCTTCCACTTGAAGAGCCTGAAATTTAAAAGAATATCGTTGAACGAAACTCCCGAGTTTCCTTTTTGGTGTTTTAAAATTTGTGTAGATTTTGATTTAAGACATTTGAAAAAAATGGAGAATATTATCAAACTGAAAAAAATAATATTTCATTACAAAAATATTGATATTCACAAAACTGCCTAACCCCATTCATTTTTTTCCTTTTTGCGCGCAAGAGAATATTTGTACCAAACAGATTATCAAGTACAATTGGTGGCAACTGAGAAATGGACAAATTATACATGACGTCACAAGTGTCAAATAAAAATTATTTTTTTCGGAAATATAAAACTGTTGACACTTGTGACGTAAGAATACAGCTGTACTGAGAGTGTACAAATTCTTCATTGCCATCTATTGTACTTAACAATCTATTTAGTTTTTATTGTGTCCAGCTGATATAATGGAAACATGGCTGTAAAGTCCCCTTTTTCGTTTATGAATGCCTCTATCGAAGTCTCAGAAATCTCAGAATTCTCAGAGACTTAAACTTTTGGTTTGGGCTTAAAGGGACTGTAAGCGTAATTTCAAGTGACCATTCATACAAAAACAGAAATGTCTGATTCACAGCGGCACCCTCAACAGCTTTGTCTGATTGATTGTTATAAATTAGATACCATTGCAATGTTTATGATTTTAAAACTGATTATTTTCACTTTTGGTATCTTGCAAAAGTGCATTTTTTCCACTGCGGGAAAACATATAATAAATATCATAATTAAACACTATTAATCATAAAAAAATGACAATATTTTCCCCATTACTGATCATATAAAGGAAACAGGTTTTAAATCAGGTATTGCCATGTTTGCATGGACGGTCACATAAAATTAAGCGTACAGTCCCTTTAACCAATTCAATTGAACTTGTAAAATCTTTTAATTTAAAGAACCTTTGAACTCTGTGCTATCCGTATTATATCTGTGTTTGAAATCATCTGAATAATCCTAATTAATTCAACTTCTCTGTCTCTTCTCTGGAAAATCAAGACTTTCATCAAAATATTAATTTTAAAATAAATCATATTGCAGCAAATTTACAACCATACTTTTCATATAATTAAAGTACAATGACAAACTTAAAGAAATATCATGGCCACAACTAGTTTCTGAACTTTCTACCTTAATCCATGATGGTCAAATTTTGATCAATGTTTTAAAACAAGAACATATAATAAATAATAAGCCACATATTTGTAAACCTTAACAGTGAACATGCCAATATATATTGCGTTGTAACTTTGTCTGTATCCCAACTACCTTCATTAGTTTAACTAGGATTCAATTTAACTATACTTATTAATATATATGGTTCATTAAACAAATATTTAAAATATATATAGTTCATAAACCTAACCAAATTAATTTAGAATTGATATAGTTTATAAACCAAACCAAATATTTAGAATATATATGGTTCAAAAACCAAACCAAATATTTAGAATATATATATAGTTTAAAAACCAAACCAAATATTTAGAATATATATGTAGTTCAAAAACCAAATCAAATATTTAGAATATATATATAGTTTATAAACCAAACCAAATATTTAGAATCCACGCAATCCGATTAAATTCAATTTTATTTTTCATTCAAGAATTAATTTTTCAAGTTTGCAATCTGAACTGTTAGAAACCTTGTAATTACTTTCTAACGTGATTAACTTTCCACAGAAGATGTTCCCAACACTAGAAATGGCTAGGAATTAAAGGACTATAGAAATGAGAAGCAGGACTAGGAATTAAAGGACTATAGAAATGAGAAGAAGTACTAGGAATTAAAGGAATATAGAAATGAGAAGCAGGACTAGGAATTAAAGGACTATAGAAATGAGAAGAAGGACTAGGAATTAAAGGACTATAGAAATGAGAAGAAGGACTAGGAATTAAAGGACTATAGAAATGAGAAGCAGGACTAGGAATTAAAGGACTATAGAAATGAGAAGA